TGGGGAACAACGCTACAGATGCACCCACACTCATACCAGTGACCAACAGTGCAGCTGCTAGAGCCTACAAGAGAAGTTCTGTCCTCCTGATTGTCCCTCTAGCACCCTCTACTGAGAAAGCTTAATATGATGCTCACATAAAGGAGGAGAGCTTAAAGGGATTCCAACCATTACCGCAGAGCAAGTATTCAAGGGAAAATTTGGAGAGGCAAAAATTGATAATTGGCATGATGAAGTATCAAAAGAGCCTTAAACTAGGGGTCAGCAATTCTGAGTTCTAGTCTGAGTTCAGCTGTGTAGTCTTAGGCAAGTAACTTAGGTGTCTTAGTTTTAGTTCCTTCATTTAGGAAATGGAAATAAAACTTGTCCAATTAACTAAAGAATAGTGCAAGGATCAAACAAGAACAAGCATATGAAAGGACTTTATAAATTATAAAGTGCTACACGTTTCCAATGGGTCATTGCTGTGGTAATTGTATTCAGTATTACACTTACCATCAAGCTGAATAATATTTAGCCTAGAATTAAGGCCAAAGGGATGAGCCCCTGTCTTATTTTGAATCCCTAGTAGCTAGCATACTTATTCAAACAAAACAAATAGGTTTGTCTTTGTTATCAGAACTACGGTTTAAAAAATTTATTTCTTGATGACTAGTCTCATGAAGGTAGTGCTGTGTCTACTCAATCATGACCAACCAGAGCCTCTCAAGGGTGGTCCATGCTAATCTTTCCCCATTTTTCATCTTACCAGAATGCTGCTGGTGGAGTCAGTAAGAAGAGCCTTTTGTCCTCTGATCAACTGCTACCTGAGGACATGGGGCAATGTTGTTATTGTAGATCCTGATATGCAAGCAGAACTAGAGCACTCCAGAAGTAATCTCATTTGACGGGCCTATTAGTTAGTGGGTAAACAAATGTATAATGAATAAATGACTAAGCAAATAGAGTTACCTGACCAAGGCCATGCTCAGCATCCTATTTGAACATGTTGAACATGAAATCATAAGGCTATCAAAAACAATTGTTCTTTAAATATAATGTTTTTCCTCTCTCTCTCTCTCTCTCTCTCTCTCTCTCTCTCACACACACACACACACACACACACACTCACCTGCCTCTGTCCATTTTTCTTCATTCCTCCTTTTTCTTTTCAAATAAATGAAGAAACCTAGGTATATATGCAAAATAACTGTTGATTTGTTTATTGTGTATTTGCAGCATGAAACTCACAGTAGAAAATACCAGGGTTCTCTCTGGGCATCTTGGGCACTGCTCTCTGAGATCCTGAGTCTCTGTGTGAGGGGCAAGTTCCTGATGGTGTCTCCCTGTCCTGGGACTGCTGTTGATTCATGCAGGGAGAGAGCTGAGAACAAGCTGTGGATGGAGAGGGCAAAATATGGGGACATGCTAATTGGTTTGGGAAAGGAACCTCCTGCCATCTGGCTCTCTGCCCCCACAACAGTGGTCAGGAAGGAGAAGCAGAAAGGCAAACAAGCTTAATTGCTCTGAAACACATCCTGGGACACTTCAGAGCCCCCTGCAGGGAACTGAAACGTTGCATGTTCTTTAAAGCTAAACATCACTATTCTAATTAAAACTTTTGTTTGTACTGCCTATAAGACATTTTGTGGATGAAGTTCAGAAAAAAAAAGACGTATAGATTCAGGTATGGTGGTAATTAATTGTCTAAGGCAGAAACAAGTTGGAATTGCAGAAACAGTTTTTTCTGCTTTTGATACACACTGGGATGGGTTAAATACTTCAGGGTGAAAATAACATATGGAAGAAGCCTTTCATTCATTCATTCCCATGCCTCCAGCACATCTCATGGGTTTCATATGATGCAAATCAGTCCAACTTGCAGATGACCAAATATGTTTAGAAAAGGAGGCAAAAAGATAGCCCTGAAGCCACTTGGACACGTTACTGGAGCACAGAAGGGTAACTTGAGCTACCAGTTAATATCTCATCCTCTCTTTTTATTGGTTTTCTACTTAGCTATGTTGCATTGTAAATGTTTAGTTTGGAAAGGGAGGAGCAATGTTTTCTATTGTTCTTTACCTTCTACAAACGCAGCCAACAGCCAAAAGGCAGAATCAAGCGAGTCTACTAAGGGCATATTCCACACCTTCATTTTCCTAGGGAGCTAGAGGGTAAGGCTGAAGTTCAAGTTCTCAGAAGTACAGAGGAAGGTGAATGTGAGGTCAATTTCCACCATGCCAGGAATTGGGAGCAGAGACTCTCAATGGTCCATTGCGGCAGGTGGGTAACCAATGAGCCTTTGAAATTGACCCAGCAATGACTTCCCTCTGCTTTCAGGGAGATGAACATTTTGCTCATTTATAATGGAGGGTTAGAAGTGTCAAGTTGGTCTTATTTGGGAGTCAGAGTCACTGATTTCAAAGCCTTCTTCTCTTACTCGAGGCCCACTTGAGAGTTGAAAGGTATGAATAATATTTTTGATATTTTTGTCTATGGCTCTCTACATGTTTCTACTGGAAATAAGCCACATTTGCTAAGAAGACCTATAAAGGACAGAGGCTGAAATTGTGATTGCATTAATGGAACCTGACTAGAGAACTTCCAAATGGCCAAATCTTATCCTGACATTCACTCCTCATGTTGACATTTCCAAAAGAGCTACACGCAGAAAGACTGATAGCAACTGGGAAACAAAATGACAATTATTACTTTTCAGAGCTTGGTAAGGTTGGGTGAGAGCATATAGTTCATTCTTAAGGCCTAAGAAAGACACTCCCTCCCTACCAGGCCCTCTTCCCCACACATCTCAGCTTCTCCTCAACATTTGAACTATCTCTATTCCAACCCATGGAGTAGAAGCAAGAAATCCAAGAGGAGCACCATCCATGGGCGTGGTCTTTTCACAGTCGATCTGACCATCGGTAAACATGGTCAACCAATACTTTAACTGACCTAACAGAATGGCAAACCATTCTTCCCTAAAGGATGTGGGAGAACCAGAAAGAGGGCCAATAGGGAAGTAGACAGAGTAGCAGAAGCATTTCTTCTCCCATAACATATTCACTCCCTCTCCATAAAAATGTTCTATTTGAAATCCTACATAGAGAAGTTTATGAAATTGATTTGGCTTCCTTCAGTAAACCCTAAAGTAAAAACCCTTAGAAAAATGATGAAATAAGGTTTAAATATTTAACTATAGGAGAATTTTTAACGTTTCAAAAAATACAATCCTATGGAAAGAAAATCCGATCTGTTGTAGCTCTATTTTTTCAAGCAGACTCTTGTAACCCTAGATCTCCTTACATAGACTGTAGAGCTAAATACAAACATTAATTAAAAGAGTTTTCAAAGGCTACAGATTTAAAAGAAAGTATAAACTGAAGAAAAGGGATCAAAGAGTAGAAATGTGTTTATGGGAATGACATTAACTTAAGGAAAATGATCCTGAAAGATCAGAGATAGGAGTGGTGCTTCCTGGGAACCAGCACAGAACCGCAGCACTGTAAAATCAGTACATTTGGGTAAACGCTTATTGAGTGCCTGAAGAAATAACTTCACAGATGGTGGCCACACTCTACTGGTCCATCAGTTTAGGGCACCTATCAACACATGCGGGCTGCCAAGCAGAACTTTACAAGATCACTGACCCAAACATATGAAGGAGGTTAATAGCGGTATCTAGCAAAGGTGTCCACCTCCAGAGTTCTCCAAGCCTGCTGTGTGAGAAATGCCTGCACTGGGTAACGTGCAAGTCTGGAAAGTCAATGCATCCAAATTAACTGACTTTCTTTTTACTACTCTAGTTACTTTGGATCACATAAGGAAAGAACATACTTTTCAGTAAGAACCAAAACTCTGACAAAGAGGACCTTGAGTTCCAAGGATTCACAGGGCACTCTAGATGTTAGATGTTATACATCATGACTCTATCATAAGAAACTGATCCCTCACATTGGGCTCTGCGTTTAAGGGCACAATCTTAGTTGCACAGAGAAATTTCAAACTAAAATTAAACTAAACCGTTACTGAACAGCTTTCTGTGTGGCTCTCTTTAACTTGCCTGCATTCTGTGCTATCTATGTCAACTTCTTCAGATTTTTGTCCAGCTGGTACGTTTGTGATAAGTTGGAACAATCTGTGCCATGTGAAGGGAGACTTTTAAAAAAACTTTGTCAGAATTGTCCCATATCAGTGAGGAAAGCCTGTTTGTAGGCAGTATGTACAGGAGTGTGTGTGTGTGTGTGTGTGTGTCTTTAATCAAGACACTCTTTTCAGCAGGAAATTAAAAACTTCTGGGTAATGAGCTCAGAAAATCCATACATACTGAACACATATTTCAATATAAGAATGTTGTTGATGCCTCTCTGGAGCACTTAATTTGACCCCGTCACATAAATCACCTCTGAAATTGCTAGGAATGTAACTGTTTTCAGCCTTTGCAGCATCAGTACCCAGAATCATGTGTAGGTCAACTTCATGACTACCATAAATCTCTTCACAGCAATGGGAGAACCTGCTCTAGCCTTTTTGAGGGCAGAAATCTGGATCTCTAGCTGGTCCTAAGGCTTTTATTCTCATGTTTATCTCTTGGATGATGAATAAAAGGAGATACTCCTTAGAAGAAATTCCCTAATAGAATTCCAGTGTATTTGGCTAAAGCAATTTAAAAACTACTCTTGCACAACTTTAAGCTTGCAATTACTTTAAGAATTTAGATGCTACTGTGCAAATAAATGGAGAGGGGCAAAGGCAGAGAAAAACTATTTACGTACTCCGTTCATTCATTCAGTCAGTGTTTCTAAAGCACCTCAATGTTCACAGAATTACTTGCATCAGCACAGAAGAGAGTGAGAAGCTGGACTGCAAAGTAGAGCACATGGTCTGGAATACACAGGTCACATCTTCTGTGATCAGCTGGAAATTATGGCGCTTCTCTGCCAAACCATAACCACATTCTTGGGATGGAGAGGAATGCTGGAGCTTCCAAGGTTGATGTGTTAAAGCAGCCTTTTTTTTTGGGGAACAGCTTTTTGGTTTCCTTGTGTATCCTGGTTGAAACTGTAGAAAGAATTTGAAATGTAGACTAGAAGTAATGCATGAAGGAAACTTAGAAACCTCAGAAGGAAGGATAGATGAGGAAAGATCTTGAGAAATCATTGCACTCCTTGCCTCACAGCAAGTCTATATTCATTACAGATTTTAAAAAAATGTTATTACTGGCTTTTCCTTTGAAATTTTGGGTAGAATGTACAGTGTTTTTGATTTTTTGTTGTTTTTATCTGAGATGGAGTATTGCACTGTCGCCCAGGCTTGAGGGCGAGGGCGGCATCTTGGCTCACTGCAAGCCCCATCTGCCACGTTCCTGTGATGCTCCTGCCTCAGCCTCCTGAGTAGCTGGGATTACAGGCACACATCACCACATCATATTAGTTAGGCTACAGGCAAAACTACTGTGGATAGCCTAAACTGACCCCAAATATAGTTGCTCAAACAAGATGTTTTATTTGTCAAGGGTATGTAGACAGTTGTGCTTTAAACGGATATTCAGGGACCCAGGTTCCTTCTATATTGTTGCTCCCTACCTCATAAAGCATTAGCATTCTTGTCTGCTCAAAGCTGACTCAGCTCAAATCTGGGTTTCAGTGAAGACAAGAGGAGATGAATGATCATTTCCACTCAAAATTCATTAGTAACACTTAATTCCATGGTTGCAATAGCTGCAAAAGAGGATGGAAAATGTAATTTCTTGTTAGATGCCTGACAAAAACTAGAAATGATGCTGTCAAAATATATACAACGTCCATCCTATGACTTTTTGTGTTCCCTACCAACTACTTTATTCCTCTAGGGATGCTCCAGTTTAGGAAGCACAGTATAAAGCAAGGATCTGCATGCTTTTTTTTTCTGTAAAGGGCTAGGTTTTAGGTTTTGTGGGCCATATGGTCTCTGCTGCAATTACTTAACACTGTTGTTTGTCAAAGTCAGCTACAGACTACATGTAAACAAATTTGTATGGATGTTTTAGTTATCTATTGCAGCATAACAAATCACTACAAAGTTAGAGGTTTAAAACAACACAGTTATCTCAGAATTATCATGAGTAGAGTTCAAGCATAGTTGAGTTGGGCCCTTTATTTATTTTTATTTTTTAATTATTATTTTTAAATTGCATTTTAGGTTTTGGGGTACATGTGAAGAACATGCAAGATTGTTGCATAGGTACACACATGGCAGCATAATTTGCTGCCTTCCTCCCCTTCACCTATATCTGGCATTTCTCCCCATGCTATCTCTCCCCAACTCCCCACCGTCCACTGTCCCTCCCCTATTTCCCCCAACAGACCCCAGTGTGTGATGCTCCCCTCCCTGTGCCCGTGTGTTCTCACTGTTCAACACCCACCTATGAGCCTATGAGTGAGAACATGCGGTGTTTGATTTTCTGTTCTTGTGGCAGTTTGCTGAGAATGATGGTTTCCAGGTTCATCCATGTCCCTACAAAGGACATGAACTCATCACTTTTGATGGCTGCATAACCTTCCATGGTGTATATGTGCCACATTTTCCCTGTCCAGTCTATCATTGATGGGCATTTGGGTTGGTTCCAGGTCTTTGCTATTGTAAACAGTGCTGCAATGAACAGTCGTGTGCATGTGTCCTTATAGGAGAACGATTTATAATCCTTTGGATATATACCCAGTAATGGGATTGCTGGGTCAAATGGAATTTCTATGTCTAGGTCCTTGAGGGATCACCACACTGTCTTCCACAATGGTTGAACTAATTAACACTCCCACCAACAGTGTAAAAGTGTTCCTATTTCTTCACATCCTCTCCAGCATCTGTTGTCTCCAGATTTTTAAATGACTGCCATTCTAACTGGCGTGAGATGGTATCTCAATGTAGCTTTGATTTGCATTTCTCTAATGACCCGTGATGATGAGCATTTTTTCATGTTCGTTGGCCTCATGTATGTCTTCTTTTGTAAAGTGTCTGTTCATATCATTCGCTCACTTTTGAATGGGCTCCTCGGAGGCAACACCACACATCTACAACCATCTGATCTTTGACAAACCTGACAAAAACAAGCAATGGGGAAAGGATTCCCTGTTTAATAAACGGTGTTGTGAAAACTGGCTAGCCATGTGCAGAAAGCAGAAACTGGACCTCTTCCTGACACCTTACACTAAAATTAACTCCAGATGGATTAAAGACTTAAACATAAGACCTAACACCATAAAAACCCTAGAAGAAAATCTAGGCAAAACCATTCAGGACATAGGCGTAGGCAAGAGCTTCATGACCAAAACACTGAAAGCATTGGCAACAAAAGCCAAAATAGACAAATGGGACCTAATCAAACTCCACAGCTTCTGCACGGCAAAAGAAACAGTCATTAGAGTGAATCGGCAACCAACAGAATGGGAAAAACTTTTTGCAATCTACCCATCTGACAAAGGGCTGATATCCAGAATTTACAAAGAACTAAAACAGATTTACAGGCCCTTTGTTTAGAATCTCACAAGGCTGCAATAAAACAGTCAGTTGGACTGTGTTCTCTTCTAGAAGCTTAACAGGGTTAAAAAAAAAAAAAAAAAAAAGAAATCCATTTCCAGGCTAATTCAAGGTTGCTTGCAGAATTTATTTCCTTGGGGCTACAAGGCTAAGGGCCTCAATTTCTTGCTGGCTGTTGTTCTCCCGCAGCCCCTACAGGTCACCCTCAGTTCCTTGCCATGTGGCCCTACCCAGTCTCTCTTATGTTTTTTGTTGTTGTTGTTTGTTTTTTTTTTTTTGAGAGAGTCTCACTCTGTTGCCCAGGCTGGAGTGCAATGGTGTGATCTCTGCTCACTGCAACCTCTGCCTTCCAGGTTCAAGTGATTCTCCTGCCTCAGCTTCCTGAGTATCTGGGATTACATGCACATGCCACCACACCCAGCTAATTTTTGTATTTTTAGTAGAGACCATGTTGGTCAGGCTGGTCTTGAACTCCTGACCTTGTGATCTTCCCGCTTTGGCCTCCTGAAGTGCTGGGATAACATGGTATTATTTCCTCAAAGAAAAGAAGGAAAAAAGTCTTAAGAGTGAGTTTGGTGGCATGACAGCTGTGTTCCTATAAATCTTTATTTACGAAAACAAGTAGTAGGTCATGTCCATCATTTGCTCACCCTTGGTATAATGAATAAAGTGTAGATGGCATTATTTAAGATAAGAAGAAATCAAAGTTCATTGAGTAGAAAAAAAGATTTCTCAGAGCCTAAAAGGTCCATGTGGAAAGTACTCAGAAAAAAAATATTTTTTTCATTCTGGTCCCGTAATACATGTCCTTCATTTTCTTAATAAAAAATAAAAGCAGAATTGGCATTGTGTTAGAATCCAGTGATTGTAAGATGGAGTTATTAGAATGCCAAATAAGTTTAAAGTGAAGGGGCTTCATAGTAAGCTTTCTACAATTTTAACTAATTCAAACTTCACCTGGAAAAATTACAACAGAAAGCCTGGTTATTTTCTTAGTGATTATAAAAATGTCAGCTAATGCTTATTATATGATTGATATTCAAGAATTATGCTAAACGTTTAACACGAATTTCACTTAATCTTCGAAACACTGTTATTTAGATTATTATTCCTATTACAAAGGAAAGTGAATTTTTACAAATTAAGTAACTTGCTTAACACACACACACACACAAAGTAGAACAACTAGGATATAATCTTTTCACTGTCCTGAGGAACAGATCATGAAATTTTACTTAATGTGTAATGAGATCCTTTGAAGAGTTTTAGGCAGGGACATGGTATAATAAATAGGACCAATGTTTTTAAAAAATTAGCTCTGTACAAACACTGGACTGGAGGAGGGCTAGAGTGGAAGCAAGGTGGGTCCAGGGCAAAGTTGATGGTGGCTTGGACAGAGTAGTGCCCTGGAGAAATGTTTGCAATTCATTTTGGTGGTAAAAATGAAAACTTGGTAAAAGAATGGCTCCCTGTCTACCTCTCTAATTACAGTGCACTCCACTATGCCATTTGTTCACTACACTCTAGCCACACTGATCTTTTGGTTCCTGAAATGTGCTAAGCCTTTCCCATCCTTGGAGATGTTGCATGGAATGCCTGTCACTCTATTCTACTACTGTGCCATCTTAACTCAACATATTGGACTCAGCTCAAATCTCACTCCTCAGAGAATCCTTCCTTGATGCCCCAATCTAAGTTTGGTCCCATCTTGAATATTTTCTGAATAAAATCCAATTATATTTTGTCCCATATTTGTTCATTTATTCCATATTTATTTACTTTTGACTAACACATTGCATTTCAAGAAGCCAAGAACTATGTTTATTTTGTCCATCACTGTTAACATGGTAACCTAGCATACACAGTTCCTGCCACCATATTCACCATACTCATCTGTGAATACTTGTTGAATAAATAAATGCTTGACTTTGAAGCCCTTACACTTAAATACTGAGTTCCTGCCTCTTGTATTTGCTGATTTTTAAAGAGATTTCCTTTTCAATCCTCCTGGAATTATCAACATGACATATCTCAGCATGTCCCATCTCCAGCCCACTCTAAACCCACACTCTTCCATTAATCCCAGGTTATAAAGAATGCTGAGGGTGAAATGTATAGAAGGAAAAAGGGGCTTGAGGCAAGTAGGTTTTCATTCACTGTTTGTGGGAGTACAAATTGATACAATCCTTTGGAGAAAAAATTAAGCAATATATATCAAAGGTCTTGAAATAAATGTAAATATATTATTGAAAATACACAAGAGGTGTGTGTACTTGTATTATAAGATATCTGGTTTTTTGTTTGAGATGGGTTTTTGCTCTGCTGTGCATGCCAGAGGGCAGTGGTGTGATGATGGCTCACTATAGCCTCAATTGCCTGGCTCAAGCAGTTCTTCTGCCTCAGCCTCTCAAGTAGCTGGGACCACAGGTGCATGCCACCACACCTGGGCATTTTATTTTATTTTTGTAGAGACAGGACTCACTATGTTGCCCATCCTGGTCTCAAACTCCTAGGCTCAAGCAGTCTGCCCACCTCAGCCTCCCTAAGTGCTGGATTACAGACATGAGCCACTGCACTCAACAAATGTTTGCAGTATTAGGTAGGTACTTCCAGGAGGTGAGATGGCAAAATGGAACAACTTTCTGTTTTGTTTTAATGGGCAACTACACACACACACACACACACACACACACACACACACACACACACACACAACAAGGTCTCATTCTGTCACCCAGGCTGAAGTGCAGTGGGGTGACAGAATGACTTTGTAGCCTGAATCCTCCAGGCTCAGGTGATCCTCCTACCTCAGCCTCCTGAGTAGCTGCGACAACAGGCATGCACCACCAAGCCTGGAAAATTTTTCTGTTTTTTGTAGAAATAAAGCCTTGCCATGTTGCCCAGGCTGTTCTCAAACTCCTGGGCTCAGATGATCTCCTGCCTCAGCCTCCCAAAGTGTTGAGATGACAGTCATGAGCCACCACGCCTGGACTCGTTTCTTGTTTTTATTTTTTTATTTTTTTTAAATAATGAAAATCCTATTAAAGATAAAAATAAATCTTTTTACTTTCGACACAGCAACTCTACTTCTAGGAATCTATACCAACATCATGAGAGATGTGGTCTATGGTTTATGTATAATTATATTTATCAGTCAGTTCCTTATGTTCAAAAATTAGAATAATCTACATGTCCCCAAACTTGGAGAAATTATTTTGAGAAATACAAAGTATATAAAGTATAGCTCATTCAAATGATCAACTATTTAATATACATTAAAATTATGTTTGGGCAATAAAGATAAGAAAAATGCTCATGCTGTTAGGCTACATAAAGCAAAGCATGAAACAATTCATGGCATTACTTCAATTTGTTAGGAAAGAAGAAAAAGTGAACAAGAAAGATAAATGGATAGAAAAAAACTGTAATAAAATCTATCAAACAGTCATTAATGGCCATTCTTGGATGATAGGATTCTATAAGTTTAGATTTGTTCTTTATGATTTT